ATATCTTTACGTTTTTCCATAAAGAAGTTCCGTAACAGCCCAGATTTTGATCACAAACTTTCTTACATTTCTATGCCATCCATCACCTACTACACTCAGCACGTACTTTGAAACAGTCCTATTATTTCAAATTTAGCTTAAAAAGGCAAATTAGCAAAACAGATCTTGAAGCCATTAATAACTGTAAAAACATTTGGAGACACATTAAGATATAAAATATTTTCCAAAATCATTTGAGTCATTACATTGCCCCACTGGTTATACATTTACGCTACGTAAATTTTGAGAAGGTCTGTTTGTTTACGTTTAACAACACAGAGCAAGAATAATTTCCTAATGCATATTAAAAATTGTCACGTAACACTATCCTTTCTGGGGCATTCTCAAGACTTCAACCAACTGATACAGTGTGTGACCTTTGCCACTGAGCTATTTTGATCAGTTGCAGCTGGCAAGCCACAAGGCTTTGGGAAGCCCATCACAAAAGTAGCTGTTTCACTAGTTCTCCTGCCAACTCTAATTCCTCAGCAGGAACCTGCCCATCAGTCTGTGAACAGTTGCCGAACCAGCACATTGGGAAAGGTCTTCTTGCTTAAGTGTCCCAACTAAATGTATTGTACCATTTCCCAAAGGTGCTCCTTGGACTACTGCTGTCTCCCGAGGTAATGACCTGTGGTCAGGCAAATCTGTAAACTACAAGGTTAAGCAGAAGTTAACATGAGGTTTCTCACAGCCTTCGATGTGTTAACGCGTATGCTCCATCTCCTGGAGTAGTATTTGGAGTAGTATTTGGCTGTGGGAAATGAGTTTTCACAAAGTATCACATAAGTACTGATCCATGAAGTTTTACTGACCAATCAGATCAGTGAGCCTTTACCTAAGAAAACATACCATATTCTAATTAACAGGTTCACTGAATGCTAACAAGTTGAAGAAAACAAGTAACTACCCAACTTGGAATGCTTTCTATCTCACAAAGTGGTCTACTCCATTTTTCGGGTAACTTGCAGATGCTGGTTCCCCGAGATACACTAATCAGAAATCTGCCTCTCAACCTCTACCCACTGAATCTAATCTTGTCCCCGGGTTGACGTGCAGGGTGGGGCGGGAGGGGATTCCTCATGCATAAAGAGCCCTTCAAATATATGGCAGTAACTCTCAAGTCACCATTTTATATGTTTGCATGGCACGTTAATTTTACAAAGTTATTTTTACATTCTTTTATTGATGCTTCACATGAATATTGTTTTACATATAACATCAGGGGCTAGGCTGCTACTGTAACTATAGCTGAATGATTGGCCCAAACACACAAAACTATGAAGAAGTAATATAACTAAATCAAGACCTTCCAAATTTAAAAATAGCTATGCTTTAAACTGATCACAGGCTAGGATTTATCAGTCCTTCATTCTCAAAAGGTTGCTGAGTATGTTTTCTGTCTTAAGACACTCAACTTCTAGTGTACACTCTAAATTCTATAACGCATCTCATATACTAATAAGCACTATGCTAAGTCTGCTCATTTATTCCTCAAATAAACGATTATGCCCATTTATAAGGAAAAGATGACGAGCTTTCCCACAGTTGCCAGCTGATAAAAGAGCAGAACTAGAATTCAAACCCAGGGTTTTTACCTGTATGATAAGAGTTCACTATCCCCAAAATGCCATTTCTTGAAACTCAAGAGATCCCCCAAAACTACCTTACTTTGCCCCTATGTTCTTAAGTAAAATTACCAAGTACTGTCAATTCTATTGCATTATTGCTTACTTTACAAACTCTTTCCCGAAGTGACACACGTAATCATGCCTAAAATCCACCCTGCCCTGTCTGACTTCAAGAAGCCTTCCTAGATTTAGCTCACCCAATCTACTCAATCCTATGCTTCTAGTGTCCTGACGGATTTCTGGAACCAGATGGCCTGGGTTTCACTCTTGGCTCTATCACTTCTAAGTTCTGTGACCTTGGGCAGGCAACCTGACCACTGTCCCTGAGTCTCCTTACCTGTAAGAATAGTATCTGTCACACGGGGCTGATGAGGAGTAAACGACATGATCCGTGTAAACTATTTACAAGTTATCAGGCACTTGTAAGAACATTACATGTAAATATTCCCTACTATTTTGTTCTGAAATGATTTTCACCTATTTGAAAATAAACAAATCTGTAGTGAATGGTAGGATATAAATCCTTGGGTTCACACAACATTCACCTCTAAAGATGAATCAATCCCAGTAAAGAAGGATCAAATTGGGTTTCGTCTCCTCTGGGACCTTAACGTCTCTTAACGACCCAAAACACGGCGTATCAGCACAAGACAGAGCTCCCAAGGTTGAAAAGGAAGCGGCAAAGAGAAGCAGTGGCTTCAAGTCACGCGTAGCCTCCATCTTCCAATCGCTGCTCTGCCATCTGTGAGACACGTTACCCGTGCAAGTTCTCACCTCATGAAATACATTTCCTTAATAACTATCCTTAAGCACCATTTTTTAAAAAAAAGTAAGTGGATGGCCTATGTAAAATACCTCGTACTTATCAGATGCTAAGGAATTGCACCTTCTCTTGTTTCAACAGCATAGGGCTCAGAACTAGGGTAGTGGTAGTGAAAATGGGAAAGTGGTATTTGTGACCATACAACACATAGGGATTTTGTGAAACTGAGGAAGATAATCCAAGGTGAGTTTTAAACTACTCCGTTTGTGACCACGTGCAGAGTGAGTTTCACAGACTGTTTTATTACAGCAGAGGGGTAGGTGGCAACAGGACATTCAGTGCCTTCTCACTTGGAGAAACCAAGGACAACCCACCGGGGCTGGGTTTTCTTTGAAAACTCCTGTTAACAGACTGAAGAAAAGAAAACGAGTGACCAAGAAGAGTTGAGGACATGACACTCGAGAACAATCTGAACTCACCCCGCACTGGACTCCCCAGGAAAAAGAGCTGAAAGTGGTAAGCTCTTCAAGTAAAGTCAATTGGAAAGCAGAAGTGGAGAAGTGAATTCCACTGAACATGCCACAAACTCAACCTGGCCTGATGGCTGTGGAGGTCACGCAACTACTACAATGGGTACGTACGTATGTACATGTGTACACACACACACTCTCACACTTCTCTACTTCCTTAAAAACAGAGAAGAGGAGGTATAAAAGGGATAAGCTAACTCCAAGTGCCTAGAAAACCTTGGCAGATCCAACGGGACAGTTGGCTGTGCCCTTTTTCACCTGGCTTTTAATTCCCTTTTGACTTGAAGATACCAATCTTTTTTTTTTTTCTTTTTAAGGTTTGTTTTGTGGGGGGGAGGGGCAGAGAGAGAAGGGGAGAGTGAGAATCCCAAGCAGGCTCCGTGCTCTCAACGCAGAGCTCAATGTGGGGCTCCAACCCACAAACTGTGAGATCATGACCTGCGCTGAAGTCAGATGCTTAACCGACTGAGCCACCCAGGTGCCCCTCGAGATACCAATCTTAATCTTAATCCAGTATCTGTACCTTGAAATTCAAAAGATTTTAGACAGATGTAAGGTGTATTTAAAATACTAAATTGGGGGTGCCTGGATGGCTCAGTCGGTTGGGCATCTAACTCTTGATTTTTGGCTTAGGTCGTGATCTCACAGTTTGTGGGATTGAGCCCCATGCCAGACTCTGAGCCGGCAGAGCAGAGCCTGCTTGGGATTCTCTCCTTCTACTCTGACTCTCCCCCACACCCCTGCATGCAGTCTCTCTCAAAATAAATAAACTCTAAAAAATTAAAATAAAATGCCAAACTGAACAAAATGCCGCAACGTAAAAGATGTTATTTTCACAATAACCCTATGGTACAGATTAAAGACAAGATTTTATGTGGTGCCTACTAGTATTCCTATCACAGTTCAGCTAATATTGAATCAAGTGAAAGTACAGGTAGTAGGGTTAAAGGAAACAGTGCTGACAATTGGCTGTGATTCAATATTAGGTTAGGCTGATTCAATATTAGCTAAACTTTGACAAGAATACTAGCACGCTATATAGAATTGTCAAGAACCAAGAAAAGGTTCTAGGCCTATCAAAATATAAATCTAAAATGTTCTATGAGGGCAAGGAAAAAAAAGACGGTCAAAAGCAAGCTTCCTGGATAAATACTACAAAAATTAAATGCTTAAAAAAAAACTATACATAAGGGCTATATCATTCTTTTGTGTGTTTTAGATTTCTCAAAATAGGAAAAAGAAAAGAACACCCTTCAGTGTGACAGCAATCATGTAACTGAAGAGGGCCGCCACCAGTCCTAATCATTCTAATGACATGAACATTTGGCTTCCCTGAAGAAGCCTTTTGACAAAAAGAGAAAGAGAAAAGTGCCTCAAGATCCCTATCTCCCATCTAGTTTGTTTCTCTGCTTGAAATGTATTATTCCCGAATGTTAGCTCTCTCCCGCGGTTCAAGAGGGCAACACTCTTTCCCATTTATGTGGGACAAAACAAAGCCAGCGTAGGGAACATAAGAGGTATTATTCATCTTTAGACCAGACTCCTTCAAGGCCACAAAACAGGACATGTGAATAAGGCTTAATTTATACGAGGATACATTTATTTTGAAAACTCAGCTCACTCAGTATTTCCATACATCAAGAATGTATCATCCCCAAAACACAACCCACCATGTGATTTTTGATCGTGGTCCAAAGCGACTCATAACTGAAATAACGTTCTGGTCTGCTTATAGAAAATCCAACTTGATGTCCTGCCCTGATAACAGGAAATAACTTAAGAACTGTAAGGAGAAAGACACAGGCACTAAAATGTGACCACTTAGGAATAATAAGAAGGCAGCATTTCTTACCGGTTTCCTTCAAACTAAAGGCAGCATCAATTATTATGCACTGTTACAAACAGATCCGGTAATAAACCTGAGACTGCCTCAGGCCGGAAAAAAAGCAAAACAAATCTGACTACCTCGAAAGCATAATCGCTTCTGACAAACCAAGAAACATTTCATTTTAAAAAGAGATGTCGCCATCCACTTACTTGCCAATTTGGCCTGTAATCCAGAAGGGCCAGGTTTTGATGTCTCTGACTTAGAAGACCCTGGAAGAGACAGTTTGGTTTTAGGAAGGCTAACTTTAGGGCTGAAACGAGCAGCCCAATCGAATTTTGAAGAGCCACCAGTTTTACTCTGTTCCTTTTCCCTGCTACTTCTTCTGGGACTGGGACTGGATGCCGAACGGGAACGCCTGGCCTTGTTCTGGTCTTTTCCTTGTTTCACCCTGGCCCCTGGTGGCACGGCGGAGGAGGCCGAGGCAACAGCGGAAGAGGAGGAGGAAGTAGAGGCGGCAGAGGAAGAATCAGTGATGGAGCTGCACCCAGCCTTGGCCGAGGCGGCGGATTTTGAAGCCAGCTTGGTGGGTTTTGCAGATCGCTCTTCGGCACCAGTGGACTCAGACACAGAACCACTCTTTATACAAGAACTCTCTGTCCTCTTTCTTTTCTGACTCCGTGAACTGCCAGCGGCCCCACTCTTTCTGGTGTGAGCCTTACTTGTCGATGGCGAGTGTGCAGATTTCAGTTGTTGCTCCTGGTCTAAATGTCTCTTCTTTGACTTACTATGTGGCTTATTCGTTTCTGAGGGGGATTCAGTACGCTGAAGTGCTTTCGGTTTTTTGGCAGAGCTGGGAGAGTTGGTCCTGTTGTAGTCTGGACTAGCACTGCGTTTCACTCCTCGAGAATTGTCTTTCTTAGGCACCTGCCCCGTTTTTTGCCTTTCTGAAGGATTGGCTCTGTCTGGATCCTCTGGTTGTGGAACTATGACAGCAGATGATGAACTGCAGCTTCTGACAGGGTAGATAAGAAGAGAGTTAGTATCGGCCGGCCATCATTAAACCTGTCCTATAATACTTATTAACTTCTCAAATCTATGCAATAAATGCTTTAAAAATAAAAAAGGTGCAAAAGTTTTCCTGATTGAGTCCAGGGCTTAATAAATACAGGTTTTCAAATGGTTCAAAACTGGGGGCAGTGGGGGGGGATAGGGTAACTTTAAATGGCTAAATATTTGATGACATGATCAAATATTTGATTAGATCAGGGCATTTCTTCAGCCCAAAGATTACTGACACTAACCCCCCCCCATCACAAAACATGAATTAAATTTACAAGAAAAAGAATGCTTAGAACCAGTTGAAGCTAGAATACTGATGCTCTATTCCTAAATACAACTTCTTTGTCAAAGCTTTAAATAACCATTAATATATGCACTTTTGTATGCAAATGAAGGCAAGAAAGTTTCATAGTATTGTGTTACTCCTTTCTAAAAGACTCCTACCAATTAGATCTTAAGAAATCAATGACCTTTAGCTCTGCCAATAAAAAACAATAAAAAACCTAAGGGTTTCGGGGGGGGGGGGGGGGGGGGGGGGGGGGGGGGGGGGGGGGAAGGTAAAATGGCATTTCGGATACCTACAGAAGTTTGTTAAACAAACAGGTTCTCTAAGCAAGGGCAAAACTGCATTGTCTAGAGTCCGCTGCACTGACATCACTGCAAAGATAATCAACTATTAACCTTCAAAGTTACATTCAGGGAACAATGAAAATACCTATCACAACATTTTGGGATAACCTGCTAAATTTTAATATTATGCAATGATTCAAATGCAAATAATTCTGCCTTGAAAATGTACAAGCAATGTGAAGATTTACCTTTTAGAAAGGTGTCCCCTTGACAGTTCAGAAGTAGTATTAGACTGCACTTTGGGTGCCTTAGAATTAGATTTTCTACTCTCAGGAGGGCTATATCCCTTATGTTTTGCCTGCCCTAAATGTGACCTGTCAGCAGAAAATCAAAACAGAAATCTATCAGGACACTGAGATGCAAATACAGCACTGAAAGTGAAATATGTTTTCATTTTTTTAAAAAGCCTCCCAATTCTTCATTATTGACTACCCTTTTCCCAAATATTTCCAAAACTAAGTTACTGCTCTACCAAATACCCTTGCAAAAAAACTTGCCTTAGAACCGACTCAATACCCAAGAGTTAAATCAATCTTATTACCACTTTTCATGACTGAGTAGCAATATTAGAGTTACTTAAACAACAAAGAATTTTTCAACAGTTTTACTGCAAATTCACATATGCTAAATTTTTGCAAAGCACAAATCCAGACTTTAGATCTAAACCCTACTTTTAATAGATAACGTGAGTATAACAGCTTAAAAGCTTTGGGGAAGAGGCAGTCTGTGACCCATCCCTACAATGCTGCCGATTCCCAATTTGTAGAATTCAGGTTAGCACAGTAAATGCAGAGACAGATGAAATCAATTCTCAAACAGATTTTACACAGAAAATCATCAGAAGCACTCAACAGTAAATAAACTTACATGAAATCAATAGAGTGATATTTGCTAAGAAGGTAATGTACTAATCAATAAAAAAAAGTACAACAAAAACCAAGTCCTAGAGAAAGAGATAAAGAATTGACCACAAAATATTCCAAACACGTTCAAAAGATTCCATCATTGATATATGGTTAGGTTATATTTATAATAAGACATATTCTTGTGCCAGCATTGTTCTAAGAGCAAGTTTGCAGGACATGAATAAACTGTTTTTCAGCGGTTAGGTTTTTTTTTTTTTAACCTCAGGCAATGATTACATTAGATTTACATAAGCAATAAAAAGAGAGCATGCATTAATATATACCCAGAAAAGCTGGTGTTACAGAGGTGAGGGGTATTAACGTAACAGATGCAACTATTGTAATTCACAGACAACATCCATCCTTCATGTAAGGAAAATAAAAGAGCATATTCTAATGAGAATAACAAAGTCTCATTAATACCAAAGCTGTTTACTCTGTTAAAAAAAAAAATCTTTCAAAGGTTTTAATTCTAACATCATCTCAAAGGAACTTATAAATCAGTCACTGAAACCTCACATGATGATTCTAATTGAATCTGTAAGAATGCCACAGAGTTCTTAACGTATCATACAAGTTCCACCATTTCTTCAAAAAGATGCTCTAAGGTTTCTCGTCTCTTATTTTTTTTCTTCCATTTTTCCAGAAGAGTTCAATACTGGATTCTTGAAAGAAGATATGAAATTAGCTTCTCAATAAAAAAGAATATTTTTGGATCCATAATACCACTTTCATTTTTAAGATTCTAATAAATGACAGACTAGAACTTTCCAAAGACTTACTAGAATAGGTCAACTACTAAAAAACTCTAAGCTAGTCTTTTCAAGTGTCTTAGTCTTGTGGGCTTAGTCTTTTCAAGTGACTGTAGTAATGAATACAAGTATTTTTCAAGCTACTTAATATTTTTTCTGTGTAGCCAAGCTGAACCTTGTAAGATTTATCCACTGTGATTTAGTTTGTGCGTTTTTCCTAAATAGTCTTCCAATGCAGAGTGAAATTTTGTTTTAACCCATGGGTTTCCTAATATAGAGATTTAATTTCTGGGAACTGCTTTTGGTTTTGTTACATTTCTACTAACAGATCTGAGAGCTGTATATTAAAAAAAAAAAAAAAAAAGGAAAGAAAGAAATGAAATAAGTAAATTTTCAAATCATCCCATAATTACTTTTTAAAAGGTATGTTCTGTTTTCAGGGTGTACAATTTAATATCCATGGAACAATACTTATAAATTATGTCATTCAAGTTCTCTACATTCTTATTTTAGTAAAGTTTGCTAAGGATTGATTTTTTTAACTAAATCACAATTTCTACTTCATTATAAAATTTAAAATACCCCTTGCTATGTTCCTGGATTATAATTTTAAAATCATTTTAAAAGAAAACTTTAAAGTCTAAAGTTAGACTACTTTGTGATAACGTTCAATTAAATATTCAAATGGCAATCTTAAAAAATGTGAATCATTAACATATTCCTAGTTAAGTCTCAAAAGAAGGAAGGGAATTCATTCTCTCAACATTAACCCAATGCCTACAGTGGTGTAGAAGTAGCTGTCCTCCTCTTTGTACAGTAAATAAATTGTTCCCTGATCTTAAATACATCTAACTTTACAGCGACTTAAATCAACTCCTGAATTTCTATTGTCCTTACTCACACCTTCAAGGAACTAAAGAATTTATCAGTTCAATGCTCAACATTAGATTACAAAAGGAAAAAAAAAAAATCCACCCATCTTAGAAAGTGAAACTCACAAAACTAGCTTAAATACAACAACGCCCACAATGATCTGACTGCACCTTTCCTAAAATTAAGCGCAATAGTCTCACTGAGGCCAGGTTAAAAATATTTTAAGATACAAAATACTGATCGTTACTGTTCTTCTGCCTATTGTTTAAGAGGGACTTAATACATTTTCTGTAAAGGATAGTACTTATGGCTTTGTGGGCAATATGTAAATAAATGGGCAGGGCTATGTTCCAATCAAATTTTTATTTACAAAAACAGGCAGGAAGCTGGATTTGTCCCATGGGTCATACATAGCATGCCAGTCCTTGGCTTACCACAAGAGAGTAAGCAAACAGATGGTACCATAAAGAGACAATATGGGGCCTCCCAAAGTGGGGCTCTGCTTTATTATGCCCATTTATAAATTATTAAAGCTCAGAATACTGTAAAGTAAATCTCCATAAAATAATAACACCTAATCTAGCATACCCAATCAGAATATCACAGTATTCAGCACTAAACAAGCCTTGATGCCTTTTAGCTCATTTCAACAACTCCCTGATTTATCAGACCTTAATGCTCAACATTAATCTTTATTAAAAAGCATAATCTAAGACCCAGTAAAATTTATATCCACGATAAATCAAATTTGCAAGAATAACAGTAAACTTCATGACAAAATCTTTTTGATAGCACCAGAATGAGCCCATTTAGTAAAATACAACCTAAGGATAGGCAATAAATGGGTGGGTGTGTATGTTCAGGAGCTTTTATATCATCCTACAGATATTCCTGAGGAAAAAGCTCACTTTCTGCAAAATCTAAAAATAATCGGGCTAATGGTGAAAATAAGATTAGGCATAGTGCACTCAAACCTATGTTATTTTATGATCACATTCCTAACAAAACATCACCAACTTTAAAGATTAAATCTCCCCTAACATTTGCACCAAATAATCACAGTTGGTCCACTCTTTGGGATCTTATATTTGCACTTTCTCCTTTCGAGTGTGAATTTTTAGACATTTTCTCTTAAGACCAGCTTCAACAAAATTAAAAAAATACAATTCCAGGGGAGACATTCCTTTTTCTCATTTTCTTCCTTTATAAATACAGGAGTAAATGGTTTTGAGCTTCCTTAGAGTGTTTAACCAGGCAAAGTGTGGTGGTTCTAGAAGTCACTGAAATAGCACTTCCTGCAAATGAATTCGTTAAATCATTTCTGTAAGATTTTTAAGCTTTTTCATAAGATCTTCATAAATAACCAAACCTTCCACTTTAATTGAAAGGCTATATCCCATTTCAGTCCATATATTACCACTGGAGGAAATACTGCCTAGGAGCCAACAGTGCATCCACATTATATTGACATCATTTCCCTATTTAGCAAGTGTATAAGGGCCAGATCACATTAAACAAACCCAGCTGACAAGAGAACAGACCAATCAACTCTGGGTTATGTGCTTCCAAGACTCAAATGCCTCTTGTTGCCTTTTAGGAAAATCATAGTGACTGCCCCTTTCTAGATACTTTAATTTACTTTTACTGCTATTTATTAAAATAGTTGGTAGTCCAAAGGGTTAAAAACCATCTCTAATCCAGAGGGCATCTAAGAAAGGGCAAAATCTTGTATCAAAGAGCTCTTCTTCTCTTAATGGTAGATAAAATGAGTGGCTAGTTACAAGTAGTTAATACATCACGTCTTAAATTTTGTCTGAAATTACTTTTCGTGCCAGACATATTCACAATTCAAATACATGTACATACTACCAAACAAATTATTCGGGGCTTCATTAAATCTCCAAATGTTTTTTGTGTGTATACAGACACACATGCATTTTTATGCCTTTATATTTTATAAACACAATTAACATCATAATTTTGTCTTCTGAAAATTAAATGCTTTGTTTATAATGTTCATAAATTAAATGCATGTTTTAAATAAGTCACTGATTTGCAATCATCAGGCTGGAAAGTTCAGTTAAAGCACTTTAAACAAAAAGCTCACTAATGTTCTCAGCAAAATGCACTGTTTTTCTATTCTGATCACAAAATGGAAGCTGATTAGTCTGACCAGTGTTCCCATGTTTAGTTATGGCAAAAATGCCAGCCTAATGGATTCTGTAATTTACGGTAAAGAATTCCTTATTTATCTCATAAAACAATGTTTTAAACATCACTGGCTCTCCCCTCTAGGGAACATTTTGAAAACATGTTAGGGAACAGGGTGTTACTGCCATTTAGCGAGTGTGGACCTAGAGGTAAAAGATGCCAGCCATGCAAGTATACAGAACAGCAGGACCCCATGAAAGACTGTCCCATGACCCAGACCGCAAGTAGCCTTGGTAATATATGAAAACCTTAGGAGAAAACTTGAAATCTGGCCATGATATAGGTAAAATAGATGCTCATAACTTCTCGGCTTCTATTCGTTTTGCATGGTTTTTATATACCATTTCTCCAGTTATCCATGGGAATCAACAGAAGATTACCTTTTGGCAGCTCTACCATGGGTCATGTATCATTCTGAAGAAGTCTACAAAGAAAATGCTGCTTATGGCATTTAAGCATGTTCCTGTAGCTGTCACATTCAATCAATTCAGACGCAGATGCAAGCGTCTGAAAACAGTGCCATCTTGTGTTAAGGCACCCAAGCATTTACCTACGGAGATCTTCTTTATTATC